AAAAATCTAGGAAATTAGCACCCGAAAAAGTTTACGTCATTTTGTCGGAGATAATTGGTAAATATATATTTTCAGTACAAGGATATTATATTTTCATATACATAATTTATAATGTATTTGACCGAAAATTCAAGTTTTTTTTTCATGGGAATAATATATCCACAGAACTGGTGTGTTCGGTGAGAAGGAGTACTGAAAATAATTGACCCGTACATTTCTGTTGGTTCTATGATAAATAATTCAACAATCCATGAAAGAAAAGATGATAAATTAATTTCATAAATGATCAAATGAAACGCCATTTTCTAATCTTCATGAAGGTATACAACATTATTTAATTCTGTTTTTATTCAGTCCTCTGAAAGTTGCTAAGCAGACAAATCGGCAACGTACGCACAACTTTACATAAACTATTTCTTCGTAAGGTTCTTACACAAATACACTGTATGTATAACATTTCATCGACGCTTTCCCTGTCCCATTGCTGAAAACGTTTAATTAAGGTTTTAAATTTTTTGCCATATCTTGTGCACTGCATACAAAGCACCATAATTTTTTTTTTATCAATATTTCCAAAAATTAATTTTCCTCTCGAAGTGGATTAGCTGAAAACACAGTTACTTTGTGTACGTACGAGCGCAAACTGTCTTTTCTTGCGAATTATTAAATAATACTTTGTATCCATGTTACAAGTATAGATTACAACACGAGTATATAGACAGTCCATGAATGCATTCCAGTCTAATACTAATTGATACTGAGACGAAAATCAACATCATTGATAGCTCTCTACATGGTGCAAGAATGATAATAGAAAAAGCTTGTTTTTAGTTTCATTGTCTGAAATAAATGTCTAGAAGAAGAAATGTTAGTTAATATGGATATGCATCACGTAGAACGTAAGAACATTGTAAATCAATTTTATGTAAAAAAAAAATTCTACTCAATAACTTTATTCCAGTTTGAATTTTAAATACTTATTAAAATCCCATCTGAGTTTTAAAAATATATACTTATTCAATCATTACATTACATGATATGTAATGAACCTTTTTTTTAAGTTTGCACCAGACATGTTTTTTTTACTTCTTTGAATTACCACTGCAGCAACTGTTAGCTATACATTAAACAAGTGGTGAGTGCAACGCCCTTATCCACTAATAGCGGATTTTCCTACTCTCTACCTTACTAATTGACACCTACATATATAATTGGAACTGCATGTAACGCAGTATTAGACCAGAATAACTGAAAGAGAGTCGAGGATTTCCCGTTGCATATTTTTAGAAGGCTCAGTGGAGTTATCTAACTTGCTTAGTGGCACTGGATCGCGAACGGAAGTAGTTTTACGATGACAGAGAGCGCTTTGCGCTGCTCTTAGCGATTAAAAATGGAAACAGATTAGATCCAAATAACTATAGACCCATTCCCATTTTACCAACATCATCAAAGATTTTTGAAAACATGTGGCAAAATGTATACGATCTCTTTTTTCGGATTTTGATCTTATAGTAGAATCTCAATCAGGCTTCAGAGAACTACATTCTTGCCAAACAGCCCTTACAAAAATTACAGATGAATAGTTAAATGAAATGGACCAAAGAAAACTTGTTGGTACTGTTTTTCTTGGCTTCAGTAAAACTTTTTACCTTGTAAATCATGATTTTCTACTTATAAAACTACAATGTTATAATTTTGATGCAATAACTTTTCAATGGTTCCGATCATACTTTAAAAATGACAGACTTCGAAGTGTCCATCTGTCCAACAAACATTCATCTTATCAACAAGTCACAGCGGAAGTTCCACAGGGGTCTATACTAGGACCTCTTCTGTTTTTATTTTACATTAATGATCTTCCATTATGTATTACAAAATCCAAATTAGACTTATTTGCAAATGATGCCACTTAACATGCATCCATCCAAGATTTCCATACTAGTGTAGATGCATTATCAGCGGATATAGCTTGCATAGAAAAATGGTGTTATCAGAATCAAATGGTTCTAAATGCTACAAAATCTAAATGCATATTAGTCGGTACGCATCAAAAGAGATCAAATTTCTCTGAGCATGAATTTAGTCTATGCGTATCAAACCAAAAACTAGACATTGTACCAAAATGAAAAAAATCCTCGGAGTTTATTTAGATAATTCCTTACAATATAATGTACATATTGACCATGTGTGAAAAACACTGTCAGGTAAAATTTCTGCCCTACGTAGAATTAAAAAGTTTCTTCTCATTCAAACACGCAAGCTGTTTTTCAATGCATATATCGTGCCTTCAATTGATTATTGTTTAACCGTGTGAGGTACATCTCACTAAAATCTTGACCGAGTCCATAAGCTTCAACAAAGTGATTCAAGGTATATTTTAGATGCTCCCCCTGATGCACCTTCACAACCTCTCTTTGAGAAACTTGATTGGTTCACAGTGTATGAGCAACTTACTGTAAATGAATATGTTTTATTATTTTATTATATAAATCACTGTTTATCTCTAACCCTACTTATTTAAATAGTATGTTTGATTTCCTGTTAAATAATCAATACAATCTTCGATCAGAATCCAACTTAGACCTGTGTGTACCAGCTCATAAATGTAAACTCTTTGAAAATTCCTTCCAATACTCTAATGCTATAATATGAAATGATTTAACTGTATATAAAAAATGTCTCCAACACTCAATGCTTTCAAGCACCAAGTTAAAAAATTGTAAAATAATGTTGCAATAACTCATGATTATTAATTGATTGTGTGTATTTGTATATATATGTATGTATATTGATTTTTTGTCTACAGAGGGCCCCGGGGAAGAATAGTGCTTGCACTAATCGGGTTATCTTCTTTAAATGAAGTATTATTATTATTATATGTATGCTTAAAATAACAAGTTGACGACCTTCCATAGCTACGAACGTGCATTATCTGTAAATAATTGCAATACTTCAGCATTTTTCCTGGTGACGAAAACATAAAACATCATTAAATTTCATTTAAAATCGTTAAAATATAACATATTCTGCATCGATACGAATTTTGAAATAGTTATCACTTTCTATTAAATGTACTTCTTCCTAATAGAGTTGCTGAAGAAATTTAGCTTTCCAACTAAATTTAGTTGTCAAAACCCAATAACATTTTTCTCTCCATTAACTCTGATAATAAACCCTCTAACTCGAAAATTTTTGCAAATGGGATTCTTACACAAATATACTCTCTTGATCTCTAAGCCTTAAATTATATCAGAAAAGCAACTGCCTCCAACCATGTTTTATTTGACGCAGGTACAAGATCTACACAACATGTCTGAAATGTGTCCATCAAGTTTTGTATATTTTCCCTTGAAAATGAAGAGTCTATGCACTGCTTGACTGTTCTCAAGCCTAATTCTTAACTGAAGAAATGTCGCAAATTTCTTAAATATGAACCACGATATAAACTATTGGATAACACTGCCTTGTATCATTACACCCCTCATATCATGTATTATGAATGTTTATTGTAGATTTGTGCCAGTAGTGAATAGGAGCTAGGGAAGAGACATATTATCCTCCTTGCAATAGTTCTTTTCATTTTTTTAAAGATAGCTTTCAGATAATACATTATTTGTGAAGTATAAATGCCAGGCAAAATATATTTGAATTTGAAATTTAGATAAACTTCCAGTTACCTCTTGAATAACCTTTCTGACTAGGTACTTTACAAAAAGATGTTCACATTTCTGAAACTTAATTTAATGGGAGAAAAACCTAGGCTACTTTAACCCTGACCTTATGCATAAGTACATAGGGTTGAGACTGACTTTCTGTTGCGTCTACAACCTTGGTAATTGATTGGGATCTGAATTTTTTTATAGGTAGTTTTGACCTTGACTTGAATTAGAATATTTCTTGAGGTATTGTTGATATTAAGTAACCAGTATCTTTCATACATTCAATATTTACTAGAGCATACCAGTATTTCACTTGCTGAATTTCGTCCATCACAACAGCAAACTTTGTTCCCGCTAAAAGAAAATTTGTCTATACGCCTAAAAGAAATAAAAATATGGAAGAGGAAGTAGTTCCTTCTGCATTTACAATACATATAAATAGTGTCTCATGTTGTAGTCCCACTCTTCTATAAAGTTAACAACTGTTGCTATGGACAATTCTATTTCTCCTTTACCATGAAATGTTGTTTAGCTGCACCTTCCTTTAGTTGTGTTCGGTTGAAAATCTGGAAGTTCTAAATAGCTTTACTTTTATCTTTTCCCAATTCGTGACTCAGATTCAAATTTTATCTAATTTAATGGCCAATACCCGCCCACTTATCAAACATTAATTAGGAAATCCTAAATTATGTTTTAAGCCAGGAGGATAAATGCAGACTTCAGGGCATTTAACAATTTCACCTACTGGGAAAACATATATGCAGGTTATAGTGGAATATTACGACATAAATAAGGAAAGTTGACGACGGAAAAACTGTCAAAGTCATCTCCTTTGTCGTACACTTTTATTTGTTAGTTAGCCATATCCTCAACAAAACATTGTTGGAGGCCTTGATAAAAGAAATAATTGGAAAACGATAAGTAAGAACAATATACCTCAAACATATTTGGTTTTCATAATCTGTAATAATGAATGTAATAATCAATCATATAATGTGGAATGTTAAATATGTTAATCGAATGTGTATGCAATTAGTATTATGATCCATAATATTTGAATGCATCTCTCTCAAATACTCTCTCTCTCTCTCTCTCTCTCTCCGTAAACACCAATGAGAATTCAGTGTACATTCTATAATACTTAATATTTTTAATATGACAAATAAAAACAAAGTCTATTACTGTCTATTAGAAAATCAAAGATTATACAGAACGGTGTTTCTTCTTTCTCCTAACATTTACAAAAAAAATAAATAAATATGGAAACGATACATAAATGAAATACTAACTCTAGTCTCTCTTTCTTTTTTACAAACAATGATGCTGGATCATACTGCTTTATCATTGAAAATCCTTTATTTCACCGTGGCAAACGGCACATGTCTTCTGTACGTGCTGTTGTGGTTGCATTTGGAAATCATGTTCATTTTCTATTGCGCTTGGATTGACAGAGTAATCAACTTCAGAAGAAGTCATTTTCTCTAAGGAAGTAGGAAACCGTGGTTGAAGATAAGGATCGTCTTCTGATATTTATGAAATTATAAGATTTACATTTCCTAGGCAATTACAGATATGTTTAAAAAATAGAGAAAAGAGAGAAGATTCTAAAGTTTTCATGTTAAAAACAATCATCTTATACTAATATAAACATAAGTTAATATCGTCTTTGCATTAATGTGATAACTACAATAAAACATAGGAATATTTTGCCACTTTGCACCAGCAGAGATTTTCAAATTTTTTAAGAATTACCTGAAGATTTTGTGGTACCACGGAAAACCCTAAGCAATATTGTGCTCTCCACAACGATGGCCAGAACAGATACACCAAAGAGCACACCCAGAATTACCGGTGTTACAGAAGCGTCTTCTCTGAACAAAGAATTCATTCAAGCATACATATATTCTATTAGCTTTTGATATACAGGAAAAGAGGTTAATTTTATTCTGAAGGCAACAACAAATATAAATTACATTGAACAATAAAAGTTACCCATCCAGAGGAGTAGAAGTATCCGGATTGCCGATCCGTTCAATGCATTTTGTACACTCCAAAGGGTTTGGACATTTGGAAGGCAAACTCTCAAATGGATCTTTTATCATATTTTTGTGTATAGAATAACCATTTTGATCTAAAGTGTATCGACCAATCTACATAAACAAAGAATTATTACTCATCTTTTAGATATCATGTATATTCTTTATCTACCTACATGCAAATATTTGTCATTTGTCCCTTTCCTGTTCTTTTATTAAACTATTCTAAATGCTAAAAGATTAAAATTATAAAATACATTACATTAATATAATAAGCACCAAAATAAAGATTGTGCTGATAATTAAAAAAAAAACTACCTCCTCAAATGTCAGTTGAGTAGCATCGGTAGTTTTCCTCTGTACTTGATATATTTTATATCCTATATTACCATCACCGTTTTCGTTAAAAACTTTAATTTTAGACGGACTTTTGCCGCCATCAATCACGAGTTCTTCTTTCCTAATCATATTGTAAACCTTTTGTGGAGAATCCCGATACCTTTGACATAACGTAGAAGACTGGCTGCCACAAAGTTCAGCAAAAGACTTATTTGTTCCTTGTAGAAGAGAAAACATCGCATTGATAGCAAAGGCAGTCCATATTTCTGGTTTGTAGTCTTTGTTGTCAAATTCTTCTTTAATGTCAGCACACTGAGAAGCAGAGAGTTTGTTAAAGCTACCAGACAGGAAACAATCATTTCTCTGTTCAAAGTATTCTTTTGTCCAAGGGTTTAAATCATTATCAACATCAGCAAGTCTATCGTACAAATATTTCTCAAATTTAGATTTCCCAGTTACAGGTTCCATTTGGAGAGACAAAGTAATGGTTCCTTCTAGCTTGTGTTTACCAGAAATTATGTCTTCTTGTTTTCCAAATGCCTCGGAACCTATAAAAAGATATGACCAAGGATTTATTGTATCATGTAGCTCGGCCATAACTTTCTGTACAACATGACTTTTTAAAAACAAGAGGACGACAGTAGCATACGGAGTTTTGTTAAGATCATCACGAATCTTTTTATATTGATTTTCTATCACTTTGATTTCATTTGCAATGCATATCTTTTTATCTTTGGCTGCACGTTCAATTGCATTTCTTCCTCCTTCGCCGTAGGTTCCTTCACTGTATATTATTTGGATGTACGAAGAATTAAGTGTTTTTACAATGCTAATCATCGCGAAAGCTTGTTTTTCATCAGGAGTGCACGTACGCAAGAAATATTTGTAGGTAGAATTGTCACTTAACACATCAGCGGTGGAGGCGTAACTGATCTGAGGAAGATTTAGCTCTTGAAGCACATTAGCTGTTGCTATACTGATGCTGCTACCATATGCAGCAACAAACCCAAGAAGGTTATTTGCAATGTCCAAACTATGTGATCCATTAGATAAACGCATCCCCTTTCTAAAAAACCTTAAAAGTTTTTCCTGAATTAGAAGAGGTTGGTTACAACTATTGAAAATAACGTATCCAATTTCTTTATTTCCAAACATATTTGCAAAGCTACCCAGTCTTTCATTCACTGTATCTATTGCAAACCTAATTCCTTCTACAACCTCCCATCCATTGGCTTTACGAATAGTTCCACACTTCATAGGATCATTGGTGTTTTTATCAAATACTGGAACAACTGCTCCAACATAAAAATCGCCTTCTTTAAAAATTATTTCATTCATCAAATTAGTATTCCGACATGACTCACATATTTTATTAATATCGCACTGTGCTTTTGTAATATCAGGCCATGCCAAACCATTCGAATTCTCTGTGTTTAAATCTAATGCTGATTTGCTGTACTTTCCAACCTACAAAAAGATGACAAATACGAATACTTTCAGATATGAGGTTGAAACACTTGGAGATTATGATAATCGTTTGTTACTTGCTTACTTCATGTATGTTCACAATAAATGAAGAATATTAAGAAAAGATATCTATATCTATATCTATATATATATATATATATATATATATATATATATATACTTATAATATGCTAAAATTCCACCAATTGTACAATGGAAAAGGGTGAAGGTGTCGAACAGTGATCGGTCTCATAAATATTTTAAACAATACAAATCTGTGAACAGGGCATAAACACGAACCCCTGAAATTCATTCCAGAAGTGGGATCAGGTGCTTAGGAGGAGTAAGCATCCCCTGTTGACCGTTCACATTCGTCGTAAACCCTATGTATTGATCAAATAGACGGAATATTCCGTAATCAATGAAAATATTTTTTTTTATTTTCAAAATGACGTTTTTGTTTATGAAGCCATTCTACTTTCACCGTGAAATTTAGTTGGGGGAACAAAGGAAGAATTTTTAAAACGTTTCTTTTTCATGTCCAATTCATTTTACTTACTTCCTTTAAGCACATTTTTTGACGTTCTTGTGGGCAAAGTCGATAATGAAGAACTTCATATTCAGGTAGATTTCCTAAAATATTAGCATCAGGATTTCCTTTGAACGTTAGTTCCAAGTCTTTTCGTAGATCACCAGGAATATCTTCCTGTAAGCTGACGTTTGTCTCTCTACCCAATACTACGAGTTTATAAGTATTGTCCCGGAGAGTGCTGTTAAGATTGGAGCACAACCCATTTACTCCTTCACAAATTTCTCTGTGGAGGTCTTTGAGAATTTTGGCGTGTAATATTGTAGATATGATTGCGTAACCTTCAAACACATTGTCACCAGTAACAGAATCCACGTCTGATACGGTCGGCATTAAACAGGAAGGGTTTTGAATATTACAAGAAACAAAATTCGTAATAAGCTTGTTCAACCAGGGATTAGATGATACTTCCTGATTGAAAATAGTTTTATTAATCAGAACATTCGACCAGTGAGCTTTAAAACTGTCGAAAGATAACAAAGGAGGGGTAGTAAAGAAAGAGCCCCTAGCTACATCATACTGTTCTAAAGTTTTTAAGTCCATATTAGATGACCCTTCCGAGAAAATCAGTCCAAGTTGAAACTCGTATTGATTTCTGAGTTTGTCGGCAACATTAAGAAATACTTTTACAGTTTTGGTGGAAGCAAATACAATTACCCCTGTTATTGAACTTTCAGCATGATTAATCACAGAATTTATAACCTCCTGTAGTTCTTTGGATTTTACTAGACCATTTTCCATCGAAATTGATGACGAATACGCAATGCATATCTTCTTTGCTTTAGTCTGACTGACAAATTCTTGAAAATTCCCTACTCCATAGGTATTATTTTCGTATATGACACCAACATAGTTCCAGTCAAGTCTTTCCATGAGAGAAATAATTGTCTACAAGAAACCATGCATTATGCATACTTATTTTACACATCCTTAGATTAAATTTAATAAAAACAAGGTACAGGTAATTAAAAAAATGAGAAAAAAAACATGATTATGCATGACTTTGAGCTTTTTGACATCAATAAAAGAATAAAAGGCAAGTATTTTGTTACATTTGTCATCTTGAAGAATATACATATTTCAATATGATAAATAAGTCTATTGAGTTCGCTGCGCTCGCTATAAAGACAAAACGTATTCACAGCTTTTATTTAATGTCTTAATCGGTAAATAAATATTTTTTATTGTTTCCCAATTAGAGAAAAAATGATTTCATTACTGTAAAAGCAGAAATATTCGTAGGGGATTAAATTTCGTTTATTTCTTGTTAACAATTATCAACGGAAATAAATCCAACACAATTTTTTATTACTATATAATGAATAGGGTTACATTTAAAACGACGAAACTTAATGCCGACGAAACCTTTTTAGATGACAAATTAACGAAATTTTATCCTCATGAAAATTTGTGCTTCTACAGTATATGCATTTTTTCATACATGCACATTTTATAAGGCTTCAGGAACTGTATTCATACATTCCAAACATTTGGCAAACCTCGGCTGATTCTGTCACCTTAATCAACCCTCGGCTGTACGAGGAAACTTGATATGCGTCTAAGCTTAACATAGGTGATAAGGCTGCCCGTTTACCGCTTAGGGAAAACGTAACGCTTTGAAAACGATAATAAACATGCATCTGACATACGATTCACATTTTCAAAAGCATTTAGGTAACACTAAGAATAACACTTACCAAGAAACATGTACCTGGTATCTTTACATAATCGCATGTTTGTTAACAGATCGAATTCAGCACACTGTGCACGTGTATTTATAGGGCGCAGCCATATTGCATATAAAGTAGCTTCGGTTCAAGGGAGGTTAAAATGAAACAGCCGAGGTTAGATGAGGTACGAATCGACCGAAGTGTGCCGAGTGACATTCAAAAGAGTACTTGTTTTTTGGACGACAGACCTCATCCCATCCTCACTAAATTCATTCTCTTGCTGTGACACTGATTATTTTTATATGTTTTATGAGTAAAACCGATACATCACCCAATCCAAAGCAGTAGCCTCAAAAAAACATGTAAACCCTCTTAGTATGAGTTGCCTTTAAATCCTTGATTTCGTAACATTCTCTGCAGTTGAGCCTTTTTATCAATCAAATTAATGTATATGTTACAAATACAAAAATCAAAATTCTTTTAATTTAACGTCTTTTATCCAATGACCACTAGACTGAAGCTAGCAGCCAATAACAACAGCCATTAAGCCCGTAGAAGCTAGCAGCCAATAAGGAAATTCATCAAAGGACTGAGAGTACTCTGACGCAATACTGTTTAATGCCTCATTTTCGACAATTTATAATTAATAATTAGATAATTAATGCAACATTTAATTATTTAATAATTCAAACACTTGGAGGCAGTTAAGCTCACCTGCATAAGTAAAATTATGCGGTTTCAAAAAACAAACAAACAAACAAAAGAAAATGTCATCATCTTTGACTGCTTAAGAACAAACCAACATTGGAAATAGGTTAAGTACTTCCGGGAGAATCCCTTTTAAGCTCTTTTACGGGTCTCAGGAATACGATGGTGCCAAAAGGCTAACCTGAAATTTGCTTACTTCTTATATTTACATTGATAAGGGTTTGAAGGTAATTTAAGCTATTTTAAGTTATGATCCTTGAAGTGTGCTTCGAAAATTACTGGCACAAGGTAAAGGGTCCACAGGGCTATTATATACGGCCATGAAAATTAAGCTGAAGTGGTACCAGCAAGTGGTGCCAAGGGCGGGTTACATATTTCAAGCAGCTATTATACCTCTTATCTTATAAGTGTGTTTTAAATCATTACTGTGGCAAGATAGAAGATTTCTAGGACTATCATTTCCCCGCAATCGGTATGAGGCTGTAGTGGCACCACCAAGTGGTGCCAACGGTGGGGAACATATTTCAAGCTTCCATTTTTCAACTATCATTGACCACTAGAACAAACTAACACTAAACTGGAAAAAAGTTAAGTGCCTTAATTAGGGAGTATCCCTTGTCAACTTTTTGACAGGTTTCAATGACTAGAAAGGGCCAGTTAGGTAACCTGAACTTTGTTGTATTTCACTTTGTCTATTGATATATGGATTAAAAGTCAGCTATTATACCCCTTATCTTTGAAGTGTGCTTCAGATCATTACTGTGGCAAGGTAGAGGGCCCCTAGGACTATCATTTCCCACTATCAGAAAGGGGCTGTAGTGGTACCACCAAGTAGTGCCATGGGTGGGGGACGTATTTCAAGCATTCATTTTGAAAGCATCTTTGGCTACTAGAACAAAGTAACACTAGTGAAAGGTTAAGGACCTTAGAGAGAACCACTTGCCAGGTTTTTGAAGGGTCCCGGGGAAGAAAAAGGGCCAGTTAGCTTACCTGAACTTTGTTGTTTTTCATTTTGTGTTTTAATATACAGGTTAAAGGTCAGCTATTATACCCCTTATCTTTGAAGTGTGCTTCAAATCATTACTGGGGCAAGGTAGGGGCCCCTAGGACTATCATTTCCCGCTATCAAAATGGGGCTGTAGTGGTACCACCAAGTGGTGCCATAGGTGGGGGACGTATTTCAAGCATTCATTTTGAAAGCATCTTTGGCTACTAGAATAAAGTAACACTAGTGAAAGGTTAAGGACCTTAGAGAGAACCACTTGCCAGGTTTTTGAAGTGTCCCGGGGAAGAAAAAGGACCAGTTAGCTTACCTGAACTTTGTTGTTTTTCATTTTGTGTTTTAATATACAGGTTAAAGGTCAGCTATTATACCCCTTATCTTTGAAGTGTGCTTCAAATCATTACTGGGGCAAGGTAGAGGGCCCCTAGGACTATCATTTCCCACTATCAAAATGGGGCTGTAGTGGTTCCACCAAGTGGTGCCATAGGTGGGGGACGTATTTCAAGCATTCATTTTGAAAGCATCTTTGGCTACTAGAATAAAGTAACACTAGTGAAAGGTTAAGGACCTTAGAGAAAACCACTTGCCAGGTTTTTGAAGTGTCCCGGGGAAGAAAAAGGACCAGTTAGCTTACCTGAACTTTGTTGTTTTTCATTTTGTGTTTTAATATACAGGTTGAAGGTCAGCTATTATACCCCTTATCTTTGAAGTGTGCTTCAAATCATTACTGGGGCAAGGTAGAGGGCCCCTAGGACTATCATTTCCCGCTATCAAAATGGGGCTGTAGTGGTACCACCAAGTGGTGCCATAGGTGGGGGACGTATTTCAAGCATTCATTTTGAAAGCATCTTTGGCTACTAGAATAAAGTAACACTAGTGAAAGGTTAAGGACCTTAGAGAGAACCACTTGCCAGGTTTTTGAAGTGTCCCGGGGAAGAAAAAGGACCAGTTAGCTTACCTGAACTTTGTTGTTTTTCATTTTGTGTTTTAATATACAGGTTGAAGGTCAGCTATTATACCCCTTATCTTTGAAGTGTGCATCAAATTATTACTGGGGCAAGGTAGAGGGCCCCTCTAGGACTATCATTTCCCGCTATCAAAATGGGGCTGTAGTGGTACCACCAAGTGGTACTGATCTGAAGCACACTTCAAAGATAAGGGGTATAATAGCTGACTTTTAATCCATATATCAATAGACAAAGTGAAATACAACAAAGTTCAGGTTACCTAACTGGCCCTTTCTAGTCATTGAAACCTGTCAAAAAGTTGACAAGGGATACTCCCTAATTAAGGCACTTAACTTTTTTCCAGTTTAGTGTTAGTTTGTTCTAGTGGTCAATGATAGTTGAAAAATGGAAGCTTGAAATATGTTCCCCACCGTTGGCACCACTTGGTGGTGCCACTACAGCCTCATACCGATTGCGGGAAATGATAGTCCTAGAAATCTTCTATCTTGCCACAGTAATGATTTAAAACACACTTATAAGATAAGAGGTATAATAGCTGCTTGAAATATGTAACCCGCCCTTGGCACCACTTGCTGGTACCACTTCAGCTTAATTTTCATGGCCGTATATAATAGCCCTGTGGACCCTTTACCTTGTGCCAGTAATTTTTCGAAGCACACTTCAAGTATCATAACTTAAAATAGCTTAAATTACCTTGAAACCCTTATCAATGTAAATATAAGTAAGCAGATTTCAGGTTAGCCTTTTGGCACCATCGTATTCCTGAGACCCGTAAAAGAGCTTAAAAGGGATTCTCCCGGAAGTACTTAACCTATTTCCAATGTTGGTTTGTTCTTAAGCAGTCAAAGATGATGACATTTTCTTTTGTTTGTTTGTTTGTTTGTTTGTTTTTTTTTGAAACCGCATAATTTTCCTTATGCAGGTGAGCTTAACTGCCTCTAAGTGTTTGAATTATTAAATGATTAAGTGTTGCATTAATTATCTAATTATTAATTATAAATTGTCGAAAATGAGGCATTAAACAGTATTGCGTCAGAGTACTCTCAGTCCTTTGATGAATTTCCTATTGGCTGCTAGCTTCTACGGGCTTAATGGCTGCTGTTATTGACTGCTAGCTTCAGTCTAGTCCAATGACCTTGTGGGTACATGTTGTAATGCACGAAAAGTATTGCGTTATATGAACAGACTTACAGTCGGATGCATACACAAACGGACAAGATTAATACATTGCTCCATCAGAATATATTGAAAAAGCATGGGGTATGAATATTTTTCATTACCGATATTTGTTTGGTGTCATCAGGAATGACCCTTAGGATATTTTGATATTTATTCCCATCACTAAGAGTTGAGGCGGTTGTTGAAAAAAGTGTTTGTAGAATTAAGCTGTTTTCCTCCAAAGCACTAATGTATGACGACGTGTCCACCGCCTCGTGGCTATATTCTGGACCAACCAAGCCTTGATAAGGTTAGAAATAGTGACAGATTATTTTCATTATCTACAATTTGCAGGGTGTAATCAGACAATGACAATTTGCGATATTGGTGTATGGTGGTTGTTCTAAAAACAATGGAAAAATTAATACTTAGAAAAAAAATGCTATCAAGCGGTGTTTATTTCAGAAAAGTATGTTGTTATTTTCAGGGTTTATGAGCCAGTTTGCTTAGACTTCTCAATCAGGCATATTTCAAAATTTGTAAATTGATAAAAAAAAAAAGTGTATCTTGAATAACTTGATTGACATTCACACAATTCACTTTCTTGCCTCAAAATCCCTATAGCAGTTCCTATAGAAGCTCCTGTCTTCAATGTTTTTCAAAGTTTGAGTTTTTCATTTAAATTTGGATTTTATATATATATATATATATATATATATATATATATATATATATATATATATATATATATATATATATATATATGTTACAGTTAATATGTGAAATCAGGAATTACATGTAGTTCCTAAACCATTCCGTAAATACTTGTATTTACTGGCTGTTTTAGGAAATACATGTAATTACTGAATAGACTAGGAAATTCATGCATTTACTGAGAAGTTTAGCCAGTCTTACACGTTTTTACCGAACTAAGCAGGATGACTATACATATGTTTTAAAATATTCAATGACTGTACAATTAAGAAATAAACAACAATGTTAAAAAGTTCTCTGGGAAATGAACTTGGTTGGTCACGTGATCAAATCCTGTGAAGCCCGAAGGGCTTCTCAGAAGATTTGATCACGTACCAACCAAGTTCATTTCCCAGTGAACTTTTTAACATTGTTGTTTATTACTTTTATTTACATTTGAGACGAATATTCTGAGTAGAACTGCATTTATTACACAAACGGCCCGCCGTATTGCTATGTTGTGACGCGCAATGACCTAGAAGCTGTTTGGTCTTGAGAGTTCGCCTCGCTCCAACATTTGAATATTTACATGGATGTTAAGCCGTCCAGTTCAGGAAATATCTGTTCGTAATGAAAAAACAATGATCGCTACTGAGAATAATCTTACTGTTCTTGTATGAGTTCTTTATATATGAAGTCAAAAGCGGTGGTATATCGTCTTCAGTTTACATACCTTCAAAGGAATTTCGGGTTAAAAAGGTAAGCGTGATTTTAGGCTAATTAGAAACATTCTTCACACCGAAGAAAGATATAATGATCATTTGTTGAACGAAAAAAATATATATATTTCAATAATTTTATCTTTTTCATCGCTTTAACGGCTCAGAAGTTCCGAAACTGTGTCACTGTGACAGAAATATGTAGACAAGATATCGTCTCGCTGTGTGATTCGGTCACGCCATGACCTCTGACCCCCTAATAAGTTCATAAAGAATTGAACATATTTCCTCTTCAATAGGTTCATCTAAGAAAAATATTTGCAAATGTAAATAAATACTAGTAAATACTAGTATTCATACAGGGTGTCCCAAAATATATACTATTTGAAATACCTGCCACAATCACATCACTTGGCCAATTTCTTTGATATATGTCTCTAAAAATATTTGAATAAGTACAATTTTTAAAGCAACAAAATATTCCAAAAAATTCTCACACTTATGAAATTGCAGCATATCAAATTTACATCAAATTTTTGCACAAAACTGTAATTTTAATCAAAATGGATTATCAAAAGAGCTAGCTATCCTCATTTTGAAACTGTAATTATCGATCCTAGTCTTAGGTTACTGCTGCTAAACCCAAACCAGAATCTTTAACATATATAAAAGGTTTACCTCTGATAAAAATCAAGAAGTTACTACCGAGACAGGCACTGTTGTCTCAAGTTAAGGAACCTCGCGCAATGTCTAGACATTATTATTACACAGATAGAACGTCATTTATAGGGCATCATTTAAAAACCATAGCATTTTTCAAAGTGAACTCATTTTATTGTTTTCTTTTAATGACTGTCAAATTATGTGAATAAAATTGTACAGTGTATGCAATGTTTATAATGCATTTGTTGTAATTCAATATTCATTACCTTAGGTTTTACAGAATCTTGAAATGGTATCATATATTCTGGGACACCCTGTACTTTTAAAACCGTATTTATAAGAATTTTTTTCAACAAAGCTGACATTTGTCATATATATTAATTTCCGATTCTGGGCAAGATTCAGTGCACTGCCTTTTTATATTAACTGTTTAATTATGCATGAAGTAGCATGGGATGAGTATGTAATAAAACGTGTGAAGAAAAGTCAGTAAGCTATTTTAGTTTTTTAAATAAAAATTATTTATGAAAATAACTTTGCATTTATTTGATGACCGTTTCACTCAGTGAATTAAAGTATGTTTTGGTATAGACAACTGATTCCAGAAAATGAATGCAAAGTATCAGTATTTTTTTTTTTGGGGGGGGGGGGGGGAGGAGGGTGCCATTTTCATCCAAATGATATTTGAACACTCTTGAACTTTCACATATTTAAAACTTGTATGTCAGAAGGAGGCATTCTTGTAAACTTGACACATCTAGTTCTTGATGATTTTATCTGAAGGTTTAAAAAATATTCACAATTAAAATGTATTTTATTTTAATTAATAAATAAAAAAAATAAATGTTTTTCTGACTCTTCTTGACATGCGTTATTAGAAAATCATATTTTGCATTTATTAACAGTATAAAACTCTAAAGCATTTAATTGGCAAATAAAACAATTTTAATTTTACATTTTCTCTGAAAAAATGTAATAAAAATGATTTAGAACTAGAGCAAATTTCATTAGACCTAAAGGATTTCACTGTTTGTGACGTGCTGACGCTTTGCTTGTCGAGAACTTTAAATGCTACGTCACATCGTTACCACATCAAAGGAAGTAACCGCGATCACTTCTCTCCCACGCTGAAGTCGGTCAACTGCAATACACATCGCCGACGTTTAACGGGTTTATAAATGGGGACACACAGTCACAGCCGTCCTTTTATCGAATAAATTTGCACAATTTGTGTCTTAAATAATGAAATAGAGTACTTATAAGTACTGTAATTATTTAATACTATAGCACATTTTGCACTTTTTCAATCTGTCATATGAAAAGTAATGCATGATCCATTGATTACTGGACTTTAACGTATCAATCCGGGTTATCCTTTAATTGTAGTATTTTTTCCCAAATCATTGCTGAAAAATAGGGTTAAATAATTTTGAGAGAGATATTCAAGAAGAGATGGAGTTAATGTAATACATGCCCGTAGGAAACAATAACGGGGGGGGGGGGGGCTGTTAAAACGAAACAACGAACAGAAGTTCATTGGCAAGCATAAAAAGTCACTACATCTCAGTATTTTTTATTATTTAGGGACACAACGGTAAATTAGCTTTGTTTTCTATTTCTATCACATTTTGTCAAAATAATCGGTTCCTACTGTACGGGGATGTCTTTATAATGTGCAAAACTCAAAGAATTCTTCCTTTTCGTATTTTTACATCAACTAAACAATTGACTGCATGGGTCGTGCTTGATTTAGCTTAGATCTAATGTACACGTACTGTAAGATTGCGTAGAGTAACGAACATTTCTGTCGAGAAGTGAAATCGTATTCATAATTGTCAATAGATCTATTTATGTCAAAATGCTTAAAAAAAACCAAGATCATGTACACGTCCATATCTTTCCTTACAAACGCGTGTATTATAGTTTCTTTCTTCTTTTTTTCATTACGATATAACGAATGTTTCGGTATTTCACTCTTTTATCATATGTAAAGTATATATGATTTGGGATTTTTTTTTTATATTTATTTTTGATAGGTAATATTTTGACAGGATTATATGTCCCATGGTCCACATATCAAACTGACACAAATCAAAAAAAAATTCTCCGGGGGAAAATCGTTTTGGAAAAAAAAATGGCACTGTAATTTTTTAATCACATAAATTTTTAAAGAGTAGGCAAAGTTTAAACCAATTATACCTCCTCTTCCACGGCAGACAGATGCATGTTTTTTTTATGGGGGGGGGGGTCTTTTTTTTTTTTTTTTTTTACAATACAATGCTTGATGTAAAAAAGGTACGCCAAAACATTATTTCGCATTCCTATATAAACTTGAGAATGAAAAAAGTATATGTATAATCATATCAGATCGCAATCCGATTTTACTTGAATTTGCAAACACCCCCCCCCCCAAATGGTCGGGGGGGAGGGATATAGAGAAACCAGGTGCAATTTCAGCACCCGCAGGATGAAATCATCACATTTAAATACATTTCTTTTAATGGCTATGCGATGCAATATTTTCTTAATGCGTGCTTTCATACTTTTAATCTATGCTTCAATTAACTAATATGACGTTTTGAGAAAACTGCTTCCTGAATTCATATGTATCACTGATTCGTACCTGAAATTAATGGAAAGTTTATCTTGTACATATATTAACTTAAATGATATTATTCTACACTTCCGATGTACTACATCAGTTAATACTGTTTATTTGAGGGCTATAAGTGCAAGGGAAAAATATGCTCCCATTTCAATCCGATTAGTTGTTGTTTTTTTTTTTTGGGGGGGGGGATACATTAAACAGGCAAGTAATATCAGGATGCTAGCCTACCCCCGCGGCCTTTTTTCCAACCCTAGCATAATCTCTTACTGCTGAAAATGTTCACTGGTCCCCCCCCCCCCCCCCGTTGTTGCAGTCAAATCAGGAAATGAATTTATGAAATCTAGTTTTGAAAAACTTGGAACCTACACTCCACACCGAAATAGGATTTTTCGCGTCTGGACAATCTCCCATTTTTTTCTCTTATTTATTTATTTTTTGCTTTGCAAAGTTTAATTTCATGTAAAATGTCAAATACTTTTTTTCTGGCAGCCCTCCCTTTCAAACACCATGCTACGTGCCTGGCTGATTAAACGTCTTCTTGTTTAATAAAACTTTAAAAAATGGAATCACTTCTTGCAATTGTGAATTGTACATTAAACTGTCGTAAAAATTCAAGAACGCAATACACTACTGTTACAGCAGTCTGTATAACTTTATACTCACTATAGGATGAAGTACAAAGTTCGAATCAAATACAAGAAAAACCCATTAATGCGTGAAATATGGACCCGTTTAGAAATTGCTATTAAAGTTTCTATAGTACAAACCATAATGATAAACCTCTTTTTGCTATAACAAATGTACAGGGAAGTTCAGCATCGAAATGAAAACCAACTAAAGAAACTCGATGTAGATACTAGTAAATATTTTAATCATTTTTTTAAAGTAAGGTATAATAATAAAATCACTAGCGCGCTTCCTTGCGTCGTACATGTATAACTCGGGAGTTTGGCAATTTTCCCCCTAAAACCTCTTCTTTAAAGTAATATTTGTCGTTCCAAGCTGAAACCAAATTTTAAAAGGGATGTCTTTAACATTCATGAAATTCAAATTTGGTGTATCATTCCTTAATATTTCTTTTTGTAATCACAGAAATATTTTGATACCTCAGTGAGAGGAAAAGCCTCTTCTTATCTTCAACCATTTTAAATGGAAAGTAAATCAATTGAAAACCACTGTATGTACAACAAGATATTGAACTCTACTCACTAGGTTTAAGTTGATTAGGTAAACGTTGTTTACTGTGCATCTGTTCATAGTCAGTAAATACGTGTAAAAGATATTAAAAAATTCAGTATAAATTCATGCATTTCCTAACAGAAATCAGTAAATACACGTATTTCCTAAGCGGAGTAGGAATTTCACGTATTTCCTAAAATTCAGGAAATACATGAAATTCCTGATTACATATATTTACTGTAACACACACATACCCCCCCCCCCCCATATATATATATATATATATATATATATATATATATATATATATATATATATATATATATATATATATATATATATATATATATCCGAGGGTTGTCCCAGAAAAAAGCGAACTTTTAAATATTTCATTTACTACCTGACCAATTTTTTTTTTATTAGCACAGTTTTGGGTAATGATATTTTCGTCATTTTGACCACATTCTATAAGGTTGTAATGTCATATGCGTCTAGAAACAACTTTTACAGGGTGTAAAATATCTGTGATCGGCGCACGGCAATATTTTGATTTTCAAAAATAGCGTTGCCGGCGATGTTTTCTTTGTTACCTGGCTATATGGAAATGTAATATGTGACAAATTTAATATCTATAGAAACTCTATGATCTAGAGTACTCGTGTGTAAAAAATTATTATTTTGATTTCATAAATAATTAAGAAAAATATGACGTTATATGCACAATCACTATTTGTGAGATATTATCAAAAAATGGCGATGTCGGGTGATAATGCGGCGCTCCAAATTATCACTCAGTGCTTCGTGGAACGTGGTATGACTCCTGTTCGTACGGGAAAAGAGATGCGAACGATGGAACGACAAAAACACATTACCGAACACGGGTTTATTCTTATTAAAGGAGGTTCAAAGATGGATGAACTGATTATCCGATGGAAGAGGCGTTTGGGAGATCAGCAAAAATGACGAGAAACTGAAAAGTCTAGAGCTAGACGTCATATGTGTAGACCGCCTTTAACTATGCAAGCAGTAAGGTTTATGATTTTAAAAATTATCTATTAAAAGAATTCATTCCTTGATGTTTTCTTAAGTGTAGTATGTGTGAAATGGATACTCGGTAACTAAAAGAAAATCAAATGCAATATTGAATTTATGCTTCGAACTAATTTTTATTCTAAATGTTCAATTACTGAACAAATTTACAAACGACACGAGCTACGTTTTGACGTCGTCGATGTTGTGCCGACAGCTTTTTTCGAATGATTCGTTTATCTGAGAGAAAAATAAACTGATAGAGATATTTTATTAAAATTTCTGTGTATTATGTAAAAAATGCTGATTATGGTGCGCACCAATTTTCAACTTTATATTTGATTGATTTGTATGTTGTTTTACGTCCCATTCGAGAATTTTTCACTCATATAGAGACGTCACCATATACCGATGAAGGGCTTCAAATTTTGACCTTTACTCGGCAACCAGGACCATTGAGCAGTGAAGGAGCTTTATCATGCCAGCGCCTGCCGTGACACGGGGCCTTGGGTTTTAAGGTCTCATCCGAAGGACCCACAACTTTCACTTCAAAGTACCGAGCGCGTGGCAAAGGAACAGTTGCTACCTTTTTTTTATCGACTTACATGTAGGTCAGTCGCGGCCGAGATTTGAATTCACGACCTTCCGATCACGGAGCGAGCGCTCTACCGACTGAGCTACCGTGAACGGTTCAACTTTATAATGTAAGTGAAACAAAAATTATTGAAATTGTTGGCGTGATTCTGGGACAACCCTCGCATATATATATATATATATATATATATATATATATATATATATATATATATATATATATATATATATATATATAAATTCAAAAGTGTGTACCTATAATCGGGGGAGTATTGGAATCCATCGTGTCATGAAATTTTCTATTTATCATTCGTGTTGTATGCTCTAAAGCTCTTCCGTGAACATTGCATGTAGGGTATCCTTCTATACCTAAATAAGTAAAAGAAAAAAAAAGAAATATGAATAACTGGAAATTATGAGATCAATGTAGTTAACATTCTTGATTTATTGTACTTTCACCTTAATGTAATGGCCATATCATGGAGGTGCGGTAAAAATCATATTGTAAATATTGTATTTCGCTTACCAAGTTTTATTCCAGGAATATAATTAGCCTCATTTAATTTCTTAAGTGTCCATTTTACAGCCTCAAAGTTTCGAACGGACATTGCTTGTATTTCATTTTTACATTCCTTATCACCATATATTTCGAATAGCCCTCCAAGATGAACATCCCCTTGCATCATAGCGATTTCATCAGGAGAATCAGATAGTGAAGGGTTCAAGAAAACTAGCGCAGAAAGGAGAATTCCTATCATGTTCCTTCTGTGAATATCTGAGTAAAAGAACAAAAATGATTGTGAAGATTCCTGTTTGAGCTTTTTTTTTTTTTTTTTAGATACAATTGTAATTTTTTTCCATTGAAGAAAAGAAATATGATGTCATCAGTGTATTAAAGCCATGTCTCCATAACGAAAGACACAATAGTGTACAAAAAATCATTTTTGTGATATACCTTACTCTTTTTTTCACAATTGTATCTTTATCCCTGTGGGTTAGCATGAAAAATCCTTAGTTTTAAATGGCTGCATTATCATATTTTATAAAATGCTTGCCAAAGATGGTTAGATAAGATATCAGATAGCGTTTAGTTTTAAATTCAGAAATAAACATACATGTATATGCAGAACATAAATAATGAAAATAATATTTTGATGATATATATACAACTTCATGACCTTAATATTCCAGTTTGATGTATTTTGAAAAGTTTTAGCTTAGCTATAACTTCAGAATTATTGGTGCTAGTGATTTCATATTTCACGTGTATGTTTTATGACAAGATCTTTCTTTGGATATCAATAATTTTTTTTTTTACTTCTTGACCTTGGCGTTTGAGCTTCTTTGAAAAAAAAACATTAACTTTGGCCATAACTCTGAATTGCTAATGCTAGGGCTTTTATATTTCACACGTGTATTTTCTGTGACAAAACCTTTCTTTGGGTACTTGATTTTTTATCTCATGATCTTGACCTCGGAGTTTGACCTACTTTTGTAAAACATTTCAACGTTGGCCATAATTTTGAATGGTTGGTGGTAGGGCTTTTATATTTCTCAAGTGTATTTCTTATGAGAAGATCTTTCTTGACCTGATGATGTTGACCTTAGTGTTTGACCCAATTTTGAAAACTTTTAACTTCGCCCTAAATTCTCACGGTTGGTGCTAATCTTGTGCATTCCTTCTGTCATGACCTTTCTTTGAGTATCAATTTTTTTTTACTTATGATCTTAAATTGGAGTTTTACCTACTGAGAAATTTTCACCTAGGCCATGATCATGAGATGCCAAACGAGGACCTCAGTGTTTCACAAACACATCCTATTTTTAAAATAATTTCGCCTGAAGAAATCTTTCTATTTCTAGGAAATTACTTGCATTATTATAACATTAAAAAAATCTTCTATTATGCAAACTAGTATATCTAATAAGAGATCGTCAACTATTTACGTCCGTCAAGGTAGCTCAGTCGGTAAAGCGCTAGCTCCATGATCAGAAGGTCGTTGGTTCAAGCCTAGGCCCGACAGACCTAAGTAGAAAAAAATTAGAAGCAACTAATCCTGTCCCAAGCGCTCAACACTTTGAAGTGAGTGTTGTCGGTTTTTGGATGAGACCTTACAAAATGACAGAGTAGACATTGGTACGATAAATATCCCTTAATGCTCAATGGCACTGAGTGTCGAGTAGAAGTCTAAATTTGAAGCCCTTCAGCGTTATATGGTGAAGTCTCTGAATGAAAAAATTCGAATCGGACGTCAAACAACATACAATCAATAACATATAGCAAAAAAAGTCATAAAATTGAAATGGCAAAATATGTCTTTTCTTTTTTACTTTATTAAATCACAATCGTAGATTTTAAAAAGAATTTTAAAAGAATCTTACCGATAAACTGTCCCATTGGAAGAAAAACACATCTGTCTACGATTACGAAAACGTTGATAGTTATCAAAGCCTGTTTTTAAATTAATACTTCTGAGCTATTTTGCGTCTGTGGAGATAGAAAAATAATTCAGTTCACTGATCATTCACAATTGTTCTATATTTATATGATAGGAGGTTTAAAGAGTTGGTGTTTATACAGATAATTTTGATAATAATTCAATAGACGTGATGAACGTCTGCCTGAAATCAAAAGTAATCTACTTGATGAATATATATTCGAATTAATTACAGATTGTCTTATTTTTATTTTATTTTTCTTTGATTTAATTATACCCGCACTTTCTAAAGAAAGTTATTGTGTTACCGTGGTCCGTTCGTCCATCCGTCCGTCTGTCACACTTTCTTCTTAATCTACCTACTCCTACATTTTAGGCAGAGTTCAATTAATCTTTTGGAATATGATAGGTGGCGTCCTATAAATGTGCAATAAGGTTTAAGAATTTTCAATTTAACCCTGGGGGCAAAACGGGGGTAAAAAAAATGACGTTTTATCTACAAAAGCCTGTTTCCCAGAACTCCTCCTACAATTAGAGCAGTTGCCTAATCATCTTTTGGAAGATAATTTCTGCTGTCTTGTAGATGTGCAATAGGGTTTCGGAATTTTCATTTTCACCCTCGGGGTCAAATGGGGTCCAACATGATGTTTTTCTACCATGACCTGGTTCCAAGAACTCCTCCTACATTTTACGCAGTATCCTTATCATCTTTTGGAAGTTGATTAGTGGTTTCTTGTAGATGTGCAATAAGGTTTCGGAATTTTCATTTTCACCCTGGGAGTCAAATGGGGGTCGAAAAATGACGTTTTTTTATATATATAAAGACCTTGGTTCCCAGAACTCCTCTTACATTTTATGCAGTAGCCTAATCATCTTTTGGAAGGTTATTGGTGGTGTCCTGTAGATGTGCAATAAGGTTTCGGAATTTTCATTTTCACCCTGAGGGTCAAATGGGGTCCAACTTGATGTTTTTCTACTATGACCTGGTTCCCAGAACTCCTCCTACATTTTACGCAGTAGCCTAATCATATTTTGGGAAGTTGATTAGTGGTGTCCTGTAGATGTACAATAAGGTTTCGGAATTTTCATTTTCACCCTGGAAGTCAAATGGGGGTCGAAAAATAATGTTTTTTTAATACAAAAATACCCTGGTTCCTAGAACTCCTCTTACATTTTATGCAGTAGCCTAATCATCTTTTGGAAGGTTATTGGTGGTGTCCTGTAGATGTGCAATAAGATTTTGGAATTTTCATTTTCACCCTTGGGGTATTATGGGGACGAACAATGATGTTTAAAGTCCTAATGTCAAAGATTTTCTGGTTGTCTTTTTTCTTAATTTTACCTTGAATGAAGAAAGGGTCAAGGTAAAAAAAAATGATGCAGCAAATCTTGTGTCGTCTTCTATCCATGTTCCAAATTTGAATTCATAATGTCAAAGGGTTCTCGGATTATAATCCCCTGAATTATATTTTATAAATGGGTCAAAGTAAAAAAAATGTTGGCATGCACCCTTTCTCCACACCAACTCTCTATGTTTCAAGATTGAAGTTTTAATGTCAAAGGGTTCTTAAATTATGGTTTGGAGATGTTTTTCTCAATTTGACCTTGAATGAAGAAAGGAGTCAAGGTCAAAATTTTGGTGCAGTGCATCTTGTTGTCTTTTTTCTTAATTTGGCCTCAAATGAAGAAGGGATCAAGGTAAAAAAAAAATTGATGCAACAAATATTGTGTCAATGTCTTCTTGTGTATATAACTATATATGGTTAAGGGGAGAAGTTTTCAACCATTTTCACAATAAATTTGATCCTGGTTGAAAATTACCTCCGGGGGGTCACAATACAAATATGACTTAGGGGCTTTTACTTTATTGAAAGCTATTTTATTGTTTCTGGTTCCAAATGGTGGGAATGACCCCAGGGACTTCCCTCATTGTATAATTTGTATAATTGCGGCATTCCAAATATCTTTTACCCTTTTTCAACTATAGGCCCCTAACCATTTTCATTTCTGATTATTTTACCTCATTCTAGTCGCCTGCTTTGTGCAGTGGTTAGAGCCCAGAGTCGCGGAGTAAGGAGTTGGTCCTTTCGTTGCGGGTTTGAATCCACTGCGAAGCCCTCGGGGAATATGATATTACTTGGCTAAATAAATCTTCATATTTCCCTCACTATCATGCAATAAATGTATAATATTCCCACTGGTAATAATGATGTACATACATCATGTGTAATCCAATAATGATAACGGTAAAAGTAGTGCTCGCAGTGTGTCGTAATTCCATGCACTGGTCTAGAAATTTTACGAACAGGTGTACATTTGTTAAATTTATATTATAATTACATACAATGTTTAATTTTTACATAAGTTTGACATAAGTTTAACAGATGAAAACAGACGAATCGTGGGTGGAGGTTGATTTTTGACAAAGTTGATCGGGTCAAGGTTTGGAAAGGGGTTCTCTGAGTCCTACTCAAATACTGATAAAAATTTGCACAAGTTGTCATTTTGGCCTCTATTTTTTAAGTTCATCAAAAAGGTATGCATGCACTAAAATAATATTTTTTGTTTTGAGAATAAAGTCAAGTTTCAATTATGGGCCAAAAAATAACCCCCCCCTTTTTTTTTTTACATAAATCTTTCAAAAATTTTCTTTAACAGAATTTACATTATTAAATTATGTAATATCAGACTGGTAATTTTATGCTTGATTTAAATGTGTGCTTCGTCCCTGGTTACCAGATTTTGAGGGAGAGCACATTTAGAGGCAAACACCTTAGTGTGAGTATTACTGTCTTATGACAGCATCTAGTTTTGATTTGATTTAAAGTTTTAATGATAAGGATGTAAATCGTATACGGTACCAAATTTGATGCACCAGATGCGCATTTCGACAAATTATAACTCTTCAGTGATGCTCATGCCAAAACGATAGAAATCCAAAATATTTCAAAATCTATCTATCTATCTATCTATCTATCTATCACCATGTGAAATTGACTGTTTTATTCATAATTCATTTTGGACTCTAAAAGTTATATTTAATTTATGGTTTAATGTGATATTTAATATTCTGAAATTATTTGGTTTTAAAACTTGCATTTTACAAATCTTTCTCATGTTAAGTTATTGTGTTCATATAATTACTGAGTGACACTTGTCGGCTGACAAAGGGGCAGAGTGTTAATGCCCAAGTACCTTTTAATCCCTTATACCAACATTAAGTAATTATTAATAATCGGTGTTCTTTATGTCCATGCCATCAAAGCATTTCATTTATTGTTACCTGTATCACTTTTACTCATTGTCACACCTGTCATTTT